CGACTCAGGAGGCTGGGGCAGGAGAATTGCCTGAACCCAGGAGGCGGAGGTTGCGGTGAGCCGAGATCGCGCCATTGCACTCCAGCCTGGGTAACAACAGTGAAACTCCGTCTCAAAAAAAAAAAAAAAAGATTGAGAATGCCATCCCTGCCAGATTGTCTCATTTGAGCCTATTTCATTCCTGGTCACAGATCCAGGCTGCCCAGATGTCAAGAGCCAAAGAAAACTGACCTATCATCATAAGCAGAGTCAGACAACCTCAACGGGGTAACTCTGTAGGGGCTGTGAGCAGAGACTATGCAGCAGACATGATGTGCTGCCTCTGAAACTTCTGGCAACCCCTGGAGAGCAACGTGGGACAGACACCAAAACACCACCCTCCTGGGTTACCATGGGCCCACTCCTGCAATAACCACTCCCCAAGTGGAAGTGATTTGAAAAAGATTCCCTAACGGCTCTCACAATCCATATCTCAGTCTCTCTTCTTTCACTGTGAAGCCTCTGCTGCTGCAGTTTCTTAGCAAGGCAGGAAGCATCCCTGCTTGCTCCTTGGAGTACCTACTATTTCCCTTGGAGAATCTGCTGCCTGGGCAAATCCATTATCAAACTATTCTCACAGCACGTATAAAACTTCATTAAACTTATCTACCTGTCCTTCTCTCTCAGACTCCTGGTAGACAAGGATCGTATGTATTTCTCTTGGTACTGAAGTGTTCAATATAATGCCCCAGTAGTTGCTCAAAGAATAGCTGTGGAACACATCAACATCCTTATTTAATATACCGGCCCTGGAGTTAGAAAAACAACTAATTATAATCCCAGTCTTGCGTCCTACTAGCTATGTCAACTCGGACAACTTTCTCAGAGCCTCAGCTTTCTCATCAGTAAAATGGGGTTAAAAATAGTACCTACCTCATGAGGTTGTTTTGAAGATGACGTGAAATCATCGAAGCAAAATACTTAGCACAGTGCCTGGCACATTGCAAATTGCAATTGCTCAATAAATGGTAGCAATTATTTATCACACCCACAACTAACCCCTGATGGTAAGGAGGTTAATGTCATTAACCATGATTTACAGAAAAGGAAACTGCGGCGAAGAAAGATGAAAACGACTGGCACAGACACAGGAAACTCTCGTAGGGAGGGGCCCGGCAGGACCCCAGGTGTCCGGCCTCAGAGGTCTTTACTCTGTCCTCAGCCTGTGATCTACCCTGACCGTACTCAGACCAAGCGGTGAGGAGGGGTCCCGCACCCTGCTTTTTCTGAGGCGAAAGTTCCGCGTTTGGATGGTCCTATTCCCGCGGCGTTGGACGGGGGTCCATAAGCCCACTCGAACTGAAGGGCTGCCTGGTCCCAACCGCCGTGCCAAGCCCAGCTCTCCCTGCCCGTGAGGGGTAGGGTCGGATAAGGGGGTCACAAACCGTCCACACCCCTCAAACTTCGGGGCGGGGCTGGGGAACTGGGGGCGGGGCTTGAGGACGCGGGGAGTCATGGGAAATTAAAGGTGGATTGGACCAGCACTGTGCCTAGAGGGAGAAGTTCTCACCTGAAAAGCCCAGACTAAATATTTTGACCTCGCCAGGACGGCCCCTGGACTCGTCTTTCCGTAGAGTTCGGGGAAAGGGCTGGCAACCCACGATTCTGTTCAGGGTCCGGTCGCTTCCGGCTTTTCCCGGAAGCTGTTAGAACCAGGGACAGGAAGTCCCGCCTCCGCGCCTTGCACTGATGACGCACAGATACGTAAGGCGGGCTGACGTAAAGGGTATTCTTTAAATAAAAGGGACAGGTTTCTCAGCGGAAGGAGGGGTGGAGTCATTGTTGGCGGGATTGCGGCCTCCTGGAGCTGGGCCACGCCTTGTGGGCGCGGCCTTAGGCAGTCTAGGTAGGGAGGCGGGGCCAGGAGGGGCGGGGTTAGTGGGAGGTGCTTAGGGAAAGGGGCGTGGCTTCGCGTCTGTGGAAGGATTCCCCGGCTGGCGCCGCTGGGTAGAGCCGGTACAGCATTTCCCTTTCAGCTTTGTTCTTCCGGCTTTGCTGTCTGCCTCCCGGGCTGGTTGAATTCGTTACTGCTTTGCAACGCGCACCGAACTCCAGGTTAGCAGGATTAGTAAGAACTCAGCTCTGGGCCAGTCGGGAAGGCAGATAAGGAGACGAGTTAGTCAGCATCCAGTGCTTGAAGAGTGCGGCCCCAGGTAGTGTGAGACCTGGAGAAAGAAGGCGAGAAAGCATTTTAAAGGCACAAATTCAGCGCAGGCTTAGGGTACAAAAGGGGGGGAAAGTCCAACTTTCAAGAACTTATCCAGATTTTTGCAATTAAGTTTTTTTCTAAAAACGTACTGGGGCCAGGCGGGGTGCCTTACTCCTGTAATCTTAGCGCTTTGGGGGACAGAGGCGGGAGGATCGCTTAAGCCCAGGAGTTCGAGGCTGCAGTGACCTATGATCTGAGCCACTGCATTCCACCCGACAGCGAGGGCTTCTCTCAAAAATAAATAAATAAATAAAAGTGCTGGAGTTTGGGGGTTTTGGAGAACTACTGATTAAAGGATAAATAATGCAGACGGGGCAAACAAGCAAAAAGCTCGGTGGTTTGTACCCCTGAACACTGGCAGAACCAGCGCTTAGTTCAAGAAATAGATAATTACCCCAGAACCTCCTCCTTCATCTCTTCCTCTAGCCATTAACCTCCAAAGAGTAGTCACTGTTCTGACGTCTGTCACCATATGTTAGTTTTTCCTGGTTTTGTACTTGGTATACATAGAATCCAACTGTGTTTTCTCTTTGCTGTCTACCTTCATTTTTATAAGTCCTTTCATTGTGGTAAAATAAACATAACATAGCTAGGCACGGTGGTGTGCGCCTGTAGTCCTAACTACTCTGAGTGCTGACTCAGCGGGGTCACTTGAGCCCAGGAGTTCAAGGCCAGCCTGGGTAACATAGGGAGACAACTGTCTCTAAACATAAAAATAAATAATATTAAATAATATATAGGCTGGGCGCGGTGGCTCAGGCCTGTAATCCCAGCACCTTGGGAGGCCGAGGTGGGCAGATCACGAAGTCAAGAGATTGAGACCATCGTGGCCAACATGGTGAAACCTCATCTTCACTAAAAATACAAAAATTCTGCTTAGAAAGGGATGAGAAAAAAATACAAAAATTTTCTATAAAAAAATTAAATAGGCCGGGCGCGGTGGCTCAAGCCTGTAATCCCAGCACTGTGGGAGGCCGAGGCGGGTGGATCACGAGGTCAAGAGATCGAGACCATCCTGGTCAACATGGTGAAACCCCGTCTCT